AAGCACGGGCGGGTGGATCTGAGAGTGTGTTCTCACTGCAGGGCTTCACTGGAGTGTGTGATGCTGTCTGAGTGTGTGATGCTGAGGTGTTGCAGGGAGGAGGGGTGAGGTGGAGGACGGGGAGGAGCCTAACCCTACCTGTTTACCTGTCTGCAGGTACTGCACTCCCTGCTGGAGCTGGAGGGGAATATTGAGGAGGCCTCTGCAAACCTGCCATTCTGCATGTGCACACTTAACAAGAAGGTTCTTTAAGGGTTGTTTAGTAAAGAAAATGGTTCTAGATAGAACTATGAACACTCAAAGAACCCTTTGCATGATTAAAGGGTTCTTTGCATGGTGAAAGTGTTCTTCAGATTGATTGAGAATGTGATATAGATGGTTCTACATGTAAGCTTTTTGAAAAAGGTTCTATGTAGCACCAAAAAGGGTTCCTCTATTGTTTTACACTCTTAAAAAGGATGGTGCTTCAAGGGTTCTATAGTAAAGAAAATGGTTCTAGAAAAAGCCGTGAACACCTTTGCATTATTAAAGGGTTCTTCGAATCATTAACCCATTCCTCAGATTGGTGGAGAATGTGATGCAGATGGTTCTAGGTAGAGGCTTTTTGAAAATGGTTGTATGTAGCACAAGTGTTCTACTATTGTTCCACGCTCTAAAAAAAGATGGTGCTTCAAGGGTTCCTAAGTAAAGAAAATGATTCTGTATAAAACCATGAACACTCAAACACTCCTTGCATTATTAAAGGGTTCTTTGCATCATTAAACAGTTCTTCAGATTGATGGAGAATTTGTTGTATAAGGTTCTATATAGAACCTTTTTGAAAAGGGTTCTACATAGCACCAAAAAGGGTTTTTCCATTGTTCCACACTCTTAAAAAAGATGGTGTTTCAAGGGTTCTTTAGTAAAGAAAAGGGTTCTATATAGAACCATGAACACTCATCGTTGATGAAATGCATGCATGACTTAAGGGTTCTTTGCATCATGAAAGAGTTCTTCAGAGTGATGGAGAATGTCCTGCAGATGGTTCTATATAGAAGCATTTTGAAAATGGTTCTATGTAGCACCAAAAGGGTTCATCTAATGTTATAAGCTTGACATCGTAGAACCATCTACAGCACATTCTCCAATCTGAAGAACGCTTCCCATGCAAAGAACCCTTTAATCATGCAAAGAGTTCTTTGAGTGTTCATGGTTCTATATAGAACCATTTTCTTTACTAAAGAATCCTTGAATAACCATCTTTTATAAGATTGTACGTGCAGAGAACCTAACGAACATTGCTATTATTTTCTTTAGGGGTTCTTTAGTAAAGAAAATGGTTCTATATAGAACCATGAACATTCGAAGAACCCTTTGCATAATTAAAGGATTCTTTGCATGAAATGATTGAAAGGATTCTTTGCGTGAAATGATTCCTCAGATTGATGGAGAATGTGCTGCAGATGGTTCTATATAGAACCTTTTTGAAAATGGTTCTATACAGCACCAAAAAGGGTTTATCTAATCTTATAAGCTTGTCATCGTAGAACCATCTGCAGCACATTATAGAATGCTGACAAAGTTAAAATAGAGATAAATCTGAAAAAAATGTTTTTAGGGACTATTTTGCGTCATAACGCCCTGCATGTACTCCTCCACCATGAATGAATTTAAATAAAATACAGTTCAGATCTCAACACGGTCATAAAAAACACTGTCTCAGGCATCAGGCAGCATATTCATAACCATTCCATGTAACTACTTTGTGAGGGAGCTTTGGAATTAACCTTTTTTTTTATTAATATTTTCATAATTTACTGCAGAGTTTCATGTATATAGTTCATTCTATTTAATTAGTTCAAAGTCAGAGTTGAAAACACATTTTGGACTTTCAACTTGGCCTTTAGACTAAAAGGCTAGCTTTGATTGACCCTGTAGCTTAATTATGTTTATTTTATTAAAATAAATGATTGAACATTCCATTTTGTTGCTACCCAATAACATAACATACCCCAACTTTATCAAATGTTTCAGTAGTAACCATTTTAGCTCAATTTATGCAATATTTAGTCCTCTACTGCACGAGAGCAATTTAAAAAATATATTCAGTTCACTTTTCTTCCATAAAATGGTCCTTGATTTATTTTTTCGGAGCTGTTTATTAAATTCAAAGACATAAAAAAACTCATTTTGGAGTATGTTGCCTTGAGGTAACTGTACAACAATGGAAATGGTATAGAGCCGTGTTCCTGGTGAGATCTGGCTTGTGACTGGTTAAATCAATTCCACTGTCACACAATGTTGATTCTAGGCAACAAACATATTTCTGCAAATTCTCAAAAAAAATTGATACTGAATGTTAGAAAAGAGGTTTAAATGTGCCCACTAAGAGACACTACGACCAAGTACATGCTTTTTATTGATTTACTCAAACTCTTCCTTTTATTGTTAACACTATCATTGTCTTTGAATATGTATAATGTTATTGCAAAGTGAGGAAAATGAATTTGTTGCCCTGAGGCAACATCGTGCAATAGAGGATTAAAAAGCGCTAGCCTGTACATGACTAGCAAACACAGCTTTGAACAGTTGTTCACACATAAAATCACAATATTTTTTATTAAAAACACAAAAATCTTTATTGAAGAAAATATACGACAATTCTTAAACTTCCACACTGATTTTCAGACTTTAAGACACATGTATGTGACAGGTCAGTCTCAGTCTGCCACTGGCAGAAGCCCCGTCACCCATCCTGTGGTCAAACAGACTCAATGCCACCACTAGATGGGAGCAGAGAGCCACCTCTAGGTAATTAGACACAACCGGTCACACCGGTGTTCAGCTCTACTTAAGAGCTCTTTGTTTGTTCTGTGCTCAGCTATGTGATCAAGCCAGTGTTTGGGTAATTGCACTCAAGTATCCTGGAGTTTGCTCCTGATCCCTCCAAGCCTTTATCTCAAATCACTTGTGACAACAGTGTAAGTATTAAAAAAAAGAAAAAGAAATTAATGAATTAAATAAAACAAAGGAAATAAAGTTCCTGCTTTTTCATTCCCTTTGTTGAGCCTTGGGCTAGTCCCACTTTCAGTTGAGGTTTTGAGTGGTGGTCTATTTCAGTTGGCTGGTCATTGACTCTCTAGGCTGTGGTTCAATCCCAGTGTGGGCTGTTCCTTGGTGTCACCTCTTTGGAGCAGTTTCTCCCTGGCACCTGGACCAGCATTGCTAGACTTACTGTAACTAAACAATTTGTTTTGTTTTTTTCATGCCCAGTTTTGCCAATATTTCCACATATTGACAAAATAAATGAATTACTGTCTGTAGGGATTTGCTGCATGTGTTTATCACAGCTGCAAAGAAGTAAAAACTTTACAGATTTTGCCCCAGAAAAAAAAAACGAAGTATTCTTAACAAAATGATTAAATCATTTGATAATGTGTCTTATTTCCATGCAGCTCTCACAAATAAAAAACAATAATATTGCAAGCATAACTATTCCTCATGCACAATTCTAAAACTTGCTTACTTTTATAGGCCAAACAGATCAGTGGTCATCCCAGTTTCCTACTGTAGCAGAACTCTGTATGGTCAGTAATGCAAAGTGAACCCAAACACACACCCATTAAATCAATAATAAACTGGTTACCTTAACCACTGCTGTTGATTGTAAATGATACAGATGGGCCGGGCAATGGCCTCTTCTCAGCAAGAGTGGCTAGAATGTGTGCTAATCAAAGTTTTGATAACTGACTGGATGTGGGAAGTGTTACGGGACGGCAGGGAGGTGGACCCAAATACAGAAAGGAAAACCCGTGAGAAAGGGTCTTAAATGAATTAATGGAGTGATTCTACATGTTGGGGTGGCTCAGAGCCAGGCTCGAACTGCCGATGTACAGAATGGCGTTCCGAGGCGTTACCACTGCACCACTGGGAAACGCAGATGAAAGCTGGAAAACACCTCAACGAATGGGAATAAAAAATGGCGGGAAAGGGCAGACAAAGGGGACGCTGAAAACGTGTTCAACGTTCAAAGCATGCTCAAACAAAGGCTGAGATAGAAAAGTAAAGTAAAAGATAATCAGAAAACAAAAGACACTTCTTCTGTAATTATAAGATGAAGATCAGTTTTATGTTTCACCTGTTTGTTCTTTGTAGACCAAACACTTTTTGTTGGGCTTGGAGCCATTTCTTGTTTAAGCCTTCTATTTGTCTTTTAAGTGGTTTTGGGGCAATTCCTTTTTTTCACCCCTTTTTTATTTTTCCTTTTCCTTTTATTTTTGTCTAAATACCCACCTGGGTTAACTACCGTACCGGTCACCCCTCTACAAAGGAGTGACAAAGAGCTGCTGTTTGCCACGGCCTTAAGTAGAGGAGTCCACACATGTGGCAGGTTGAGCCTAATCAGCCCGAGGGCTTCTGAGAATTAGAGTTTCCTGAACTGGTGGCACCTCGCCACCGTCGCCCTCTGCTGGCGACCAGTGGCACAGGCTGGACCCTTACAGGGAGATGTTAGGCCTGAAATGCGGTTCATTAATTCTATATATTAAAAACCTCAAAATATATTTAAAACCTGCCAAAATAATGACAAACTGCCCAATTTTTGTCTCGCTAAAGAATTTTTCTCCTGCCAAATCCAAGCAAAATCCGCCCAGGATGGTGGGAACTCACCCAATCTGCCAACACTGGAGCTAACCAGCGTTAACTGAAGTTGATGCCACAGATAGTGACCTAAAGAAGATCCTATTTACTCTAAGTGCACATAAAATGATGTTGATATGTACACTTTTATTATTTAACATAATTATACTATTAAATTATTCTGAGTTTAATGTTTGAGCTCTGCTCTCATACAATTTGCTATAAGTACATGTTTCTAACATCCAAGTCAAATGCCTTCAATACATCTGCCGTTCAGTATTAGAACCAATGTTTGGAATAAATACACCCAGTCAACAGTTAGCAATATGAATGACATGAGTATAAATATTGATGTATGTGTGTTGGTGGGTGGAGGGGAAAAATAATTTTAAAAAATAATGGTCAATTAGAGGCCCTGAATTACTAAGGGCCCTTGTACTTCAGCCCAGGTAGGCCTGTGCATTAAACCACTCCTGGGTGCAGTACAGTGGCTCACCTAGACGGGAAAGTCGAAAATATTGTGTTAGCACAAAATATATGAAAATACTGAGTAAACTAACCAAACAGAGACCAATATGAATGTCAGAGTGGACATACAGGAACTATTTTATTGCACTAAGGTCTAAATTGATACATCTTTAAAGTATTAGTCTATGCAAAATAAGCCAACCATGCTGATTTGAATATCACTCACCCAGAGGTGCTGGATGGATCCAAAGAATGTTTTAAAAGTCCACAGCAAACAGTGAAGACAGTAAAAGGAAGTCAGCTGGCAAAGTTCAGGACTTGTTTTATATATTTTGGTTCAGCTACAGTGTAAAATGGGAGGAGTTTTATGTTCAGACATGGGTGGGACCAATAACCAGACCACCATTACGGATCTAAAGCAAGACTTTGAGGCCTTAAGGAAGGAGTGTTTGAAACAAGGAGTACTTTTCTGTGACCCGACTTTCCCAGCTGGACCCAAATCTTTAGGCTTCAGTGAACTCGGGCCAAGTTCTACCAAAGCCTTTGGAGTGGAATGGAAAAGGCCCAAAGTGAGTTTCTGTTAAGAATTACTGAAAGAATAACCTTTTTCGGGTAATATCTAAATGGTGCATCTGCATTAAAGCTATCTTTTAATAGAACCTGTGGGTGGGGGCGTGTGTTAAAGCAACTGGCCATCGATTTCTGTTATAAGTGTATTATAAGTACTTAAAACTGTGAATATCTATAATAAAAGTAATTAGAATAAAAACAATAATACATCATTTTTGCACATGGCAATCCAGTACAACAACGGATGTACTTATTTTACATTCACAGTGACATACATAACTATTCCATGTTGCACTTAAATACACATTACACTGTGCTTTTGTTTTAAACTACTGACCCCACCCACAAAATAAACAATACAAGCATCTCATACATTGCAAACCAGCATTTATATGTTATTTTACCCTACACAATCACATCATTATACCATGTAAAAAGAGGTTTTGTTTATTTCACAGTCATTGTAACTTTAGCATAAAGTTTGGTCAGTTTGGTCACTGCTCCACCTCAAACTCCGCCTGTGAGCACAACTATTGGCTCATGAGCCACTGAATACTGTTGTTTTATTGGCTCCCTACCCAAACATCTGCATGAAATAGGGCGTTCTTCATGTATATGATATGTAAATGAGGTGTTGGTAGGCTTGCGCTTGATTTCACGCACTGAAGCTGATTTCACTTGCGCTCAAATCTCTGCTTGTTTTCACATCATATGAAAGTTTTACAAATCGGATGCAGAGTAGTTCGTACGCCATTAAAGGCGATCAAATCTGCGCTCTTTTTTAACCTCGTTATCTGGTCACCAAATGAGTTTTTTTACATTAATTGATAATGTTTTAAATCCAAATAGTTTATCTTTTAGTTATTATATCTTTTTTTGAATGTTTGCAGTGGTTTGCCACGAGTATTTGCCAGGCATTTTCAAGCAAAGTGTTTTTATGAGCCTACACTGTTAATATTTATAAGCCTACATGGTCATTTTTATTGAATACTAAGGAAAAAGTTACAGTGCAGAATAAAACTTCTCCTCTGTGGCTGGCGCAATGGCATGTCGCTTTTATGTAGCACTATCAACTAACAGTCAAAGCTAAGATGACTAAATAGGCTAACTTAGCGAGCGTGTCAGCACAGAGGTGGAAAAATTCCATTTGTTTAATGTTTAAAATATGACTGAATATTGACTGAATATAAAAGTGTACTTAGTCATTTTGACCAGTCTCTCCATTTTTTTGCATGCACCAAAAGCTATAGATGGTAGATCAATACTTCCAATCCTGATGTTTCCTTTTGAAAATTGATTCTTACATAAAAATATGGATACCAAGGGTAGACTTCAGAATAGAATTGAGCTTATTTGCTATGATCCTGAAAAAACGACTGTAGCAGGAGGACATACTATCTGCCTATATAGGCCTGAAATGATAACATCTTAATTATTTGATATCCATAATTCCTGGAAAGACCAGTTATAAAAATCACAATTAGCAACAATAATAGGCACATAAATGTGATCACCAGCAAAAACAGCACATCTTTGCACTCCCAAAAAAAAGTATCTCTAATGGTGTTGGGATTTTAGCCTTTGTATTATTAAGTATCTCTTACATACCAAAAGCCTATATTGCTTTATCAGCATTTATGGTGGACTCAGCCAACCAGAATCACTCTTTAGAAACTGTACTGAATCCAGACAGTGTTGCAGAAATTACCACTAGTTTAATCAAGACTGTTCAGTAAGCGATTGAGACTAAACACTTCCACAAAGTGTAAATGAGAAGGAGAAAGGAGGCAGATTTCTACACTATAGTACCGAAATTGTGCTAAATGCTAATGTGTGCTGTTTTTAAGGACCTGTGCTCAAGCCCTCAGTTCATCATTGATGGAGCTACAAGGACCGACATTTGCCAAGGAGAGCTAGGTGAGCTTTGAAACCTTTTGTGCCAACCAGTGCCAGAGTGGGAAATCGGGAGAGTCCAGAGAGTTCTCGGTGGCCCAGAAGCACCTTAGGCCGCTTACTATGAGCTAGAGGCTTAGTTGTTAGAGCTCTGGGCAATTGATTACAGGGTTGTGGGTTCGGTACCCAGGTCTGCTAACCTAACCCTGTCGACTCCAGAGGCATCGTAGCATGGCTAATCCATGCAAAGAAAATAGTTTTATTGTACTGTGCAAAGAATATTAACATTAACATTAGATAACAGTCTGTCCAATTTTCACACGTGAATCACGTGAAGATGGATGCCACTGGCAAGAACTGTAAAAATCTAGGTGGCACAGAGAACGCAAGAATTAAAAAGCTACTTAAGGAGGAAGAGGACATATCCGAGTAGACATGTTGCCAACACCATAACGTACTTAGCTAGCATGGGTTTGGAGCATACTGACTGTCATGATTATGTCATATTTAAGCCAACAGCTTTCACCGGTTTTCATTTTATCACTAGTGAGCCTCTTTGGTTGTCTCAATGAAGAATATAAATAATAAATAACAATAAGAAATGAGGACAACAAAAAAGCAGGTATTGTTTGGGTGATGGGTCATTCTCGGTGGCGTGTTAGTGTGTATTGCGCTGGTACAAGTGGATCACACACAGCAGTGCTGGGGCTTTTAAACACCTCAGTGTCACTGCTGGACTGAGAATAGTTCACCAACCAAAAATATCCAGCCAACAGCGTCCTGTGGGCAGCGTCCTGTGACCACTGATGAAAGACTAGAGGATGACCAACACAAACTGTGCAGCAGCAGATGAGCTGTCATCTCTGACTTTACATCTACAAGGTCGACTGACAAGGTAGGGGTGTCTAATAGAGTGGACAGTGAGTGGATACAGTGTTTTAAAAACTCCAGCAGCACTGCTGTGTCTGATCCACTCAGACCAGCACAACACACACTAACACACCACCACCACGTCAGTGTTACTGCAGTGTAGTACCTACTCTGTGATGGTCCTGTGGGGGCCCTGACCACTGAAGAACAGGATAACAAAGTATGCAGAGACACAGATGGACTACAGTCTGTAACTGTAGAACTACAGAGTGCATGTATATGATAAATAGAGCTGATAAAGTGGACAAAGAGTGTACAAACAAAAAAGGTGTACTTAATGAAATGGCCTGTCAGTGGATGTATTATCATGCATACAAATTGTTGCTGTCATGCAAAAACCTTCTCCATTTTTGGAATAAAAACGTTTTTTACTTTTTACTTACTCAAAGCTGAAGTTACCCTTTCAATTGTATTACAATTTCAACAGAAATGCTCCAAAATCACTTGAACTTGAACTTCCATTATTAGTTAAGAATGTTCTTCCCTTCTTCGGTAAAGTTATTATTTTGGAGATGCAACATGTTGTTCTGACCACGAACACAGTTATTCACTTTATTTGGATCGTCCACTTTAGATGCTGTGTAGATACTTAATTTACTTTCAAGTTACATTCAGCTAAATATCTACTAAATTAACCATAATTTTCTTTAAACCTGGCTCTAATCCTAACCCTAACCTTAATCTCAACCCAAAACCTAAATCCAACCCTCACCCTGCTCCTAGCCCTAACCCTGGTCCGAATCCTAACCCTAACACTGTTTAGAATCAACTGAGTGTCAACAGATAGTATAACAATTTAAGCATCTGTAGATAATCTATAGGGGACTATAGTGGACTATCCTAATAAAGTGAGACCAGTTTACCTGACCACTTGCAGAAAATCTCATTACTGTACCCTTGGACCTTTGCAGGTGACTGCTGGCTGATGGCGGCTATCGCCTCTCTGACTTTGGACAAAGACATTTTAGCACGTGTGATTCATCCTGAGCAGAACTTTACAGACAACTACGCCGGCATCTTTCACTTTCAGGTAGTATTCATTTGCTTACACCTTTATTATGAAGTCATCTGAATATGAAATCATAACATTTTTCTCCTGAACTGATACGTTCTCTGAATGAAATGAGAGAATCTCTGACCAAGCTGGTTGCTTTCAATCAAAAACCACAAGGTGTTTTATAGGTGAAAAAAAGTCATTATATTTCAATGGAGATCACAGAAAACACAAATTTTGTCTTTTAAATGAAATTATATGACGCATCATATGAGTACTAACAAGGTAAAAAAGGTTTCCAGTTGATTTCAGCTATCAGTGTCTGTGTTTCAATGCAAAAATTTTTGCAGATCAGATTGAACACATTCCGATTATCGATTAAGACTGAGGTGTTTATGATCACTCTACTCAACAATCTGATGGAAAATCTCTATTTACATGCTCACTACAAGTAATCTGATCCAAAACAGTTGCAGTGTTTAAACACAACAGATATGATGGTTATTAGAAACTCCGGCAGTGAAGCTCCTCAGTTTCTGACCACAGATCAGCTCTTGGGTGGATAGTTTTGAGTGGCAAACCACTCTCAACCTTCAGAAACTGGGGTAAATGCTGGCTGACATATAGTGCAGCAACAGATGGACCATTTTGCATCTATAGTGGCTTTATAAGGTAAGTGGAGCCCATAATGTGGTCAGTGGGTTGATGTACAATGGTGGTCACCAAGTAATCCTCCCCCTTGAGAACTACTCAGACCTTAGTTTCAACCAGCATCTAACATACTGCCTTTTGCCTTAGCTAACACTTATGCATCTGATCCAGCCAATCGAAAACATCTAAAGAAATTAATTAGCTGGATCAGGTGGTTGGAATTAGAGTCTTGAGGAAGGTTGATCTCGAGGACCAGGCTTGGTGACCAGAGATGTACAAGGTCCAAGTTTATAATAAAGTGGAAATGTGAATGTTGAGTTGGGGATGGAGGAATGTCACATTACCATATTATTAAACCTTTCTCTCCACAGCTGTGGCAGTATGGGAAATGGGTTGACGTTGTCATTGATGACTTGCTGCCCACCAGAAAAGGACAGCTGCTGTTTGTCCACTCGGTGGAGAAGAATGAGTTCTGGAGCCCCCTGCTGGAGAAGGCCTATGCAAAGTGAGTGTGTGTGACTGTAAGAAATTGTTAACTTAATTAAGAGTGGATGTTGAAACAGTGTCTCTTCAGGGTGAACGGCAGCTATGAAGCTCTTTCTGGAGGCCTGGCCACTGAAGGCTTTGTGGACTTCACTGGAGGCATCTCGGAATGCTACAAGCTGAGCAAAGCTCCTCCAAACCTGTTCAGCATCATGAAGAAAGCGCTCAGTCGGGGTTCTTTGCTGAGCAGTTCTATATCTGTGAGTAGGGCTATATCTACACTCTCTGGCCACTTTATTAGAAACCTTGGCCTTGTAGCTCCACCTTGCTGGTGTACAAGCATAGCCGTAGCCCATCTGCTGATGCACAGTTACTGTAACAATGTCTTTGTACAGTATTAGCAGGAACACTGCCTACATAGACATAAACATTTGATATGTTTTTGAGCAGCCCAGCAGTGCAAATGAAAAAGAAGCAAAGACCAAAGAGCACCTGGTGACCACACATGCCTATTCCATCACTGGGGCTGAAGAGGTCAGATTCAACTCAAATTGATCAAGAGCACACAAACACATTTACACTCATTTCCACAAGTTTCCAATCATATTTACAAACTCAGTGTCACATACTGATGATACATGCACTGTATTTTCTATGAATAACATGTTTATATATTTTAAATGTTAACATATAATTCATTAGATGTCATGAGAATATGGTAACTTGATGTACTCTGTTTAGGTAGTTTTATACATAAACTCTGCAATTTTTATGTGTTGCTAGCAATGTATGCAGACTACGGCCTCTCGATGTAAAAATATATATACACTATATGGGCAAAAGCATTGGGCTTTGCTGATGTCCCATTGTAAATCCATAGGCATTAATATGGAGTTGGTTTTGCAGCTATAACAGCTTCCACTCTTCTGGGAAGCTTTCTACAAGATTTTAGAGTGTCTGTGGGAAATTTTGCCCATTCATCCAGAAGAGCATTTGTGAGGTCAGACACTGATGTTGGACGAGAGTTCCTGGCTCACAGTTTCCATTCTGGTTAATCCCAATGGTGTTTGATGGGGTTGAGATCAGAACTCAGTGAGGGCCAGTCAAGTTCTTCCACACCAGACTCACCCAGCCAGGCCTTTATGGAGCTGCTTTGTGCACTGGAGCCCCTGAAAAACAACCCCATAGCATCATCCCTCCTCCACCAAACTTTACAGTTGGCACAATGCAGTCAGGCAGGTAATGTTCTCCTGGCATTCGCCAAACCCAGACTCGTCCATCAGACTGACAGACTACACAGAATACGTTTCCACTGCTCCAGAGTCCAGTGACTGCGTGCTTTACACCGCTCCATCTGGCACTTGGCATTGTGCTTGGTGATGTAATGCAGCTGCTTGGCCATGGAAACCCATGCCATTAAGCTCTTGGCACACAGTTTTATGCTGATGTTAATACCAGAGGAGACCTGCTCTGTAACTTTACGTGGTCTGACACTTTGTGGCTGAGTTGCTGTGGTTCCTAAACGCTTTAACTTTTCAATAATACCACACACAGTTGATTGTGGAATATCTAGGAGAGAAGAAATTTTGCAAACTGACTTATTACAGCAGTGGCATCCTATTACAGTATCACGCTTGAATTCAGTGAACTCTTTAGAACTTCTTTCACAAGTGTTTGTAAAGGCAGTCTGCACGGCTAGGTGCTTGATTTTATACACCTGTGGCAATGGGACTGAATAAAACACCTTCAGTTTTCATTTAATTAAGATGTGTGTCCCAATACTTTTGTACACAAAGTGTGTGTGTGTGTGTGTGTGTGTGTGTGTGTGTTCTTGTACTGCTGTACTTGTGAGGACCCCATGCCCTCACTATGATAGGACTATATGAATTTTTTGCTCAAGTGAGGACCAGCAAAATGTTTTCACTTGAGCAAAAAATTCATATAGTCCTATCATAGTGAGGGCATGGGGTCCTCACAAGTACAGCAGTACAAGAACACACACACACACACACACACACACAAACACGCTGTGTTTTCAGCACAATTATTATTTTTATTTGAAAACTAAAAGAGCAGAAAAATTGCCTTTTGGATACTGAGGTTAAGGGTAAGGTTAGGTTTAGGTGTAGTATTATTTAGCTACAGTAACACAAAAATCTGTATCTAAATCTATATCTAAATCTATATATATATATATACATATATATATCTTGCAGATTTATAAACTGCAGTGTGTTGTGTTTACTGTAGAGGGCGCTGATGGTTGTGTCTGCTTTAGGTACATGTGGGTGAGAGTCGAGTGGAGCTGGTGCGTCTCAGGAACCCGTGGGGTCACATGGAATGGAACGGCGCTTGGAGCGATGAGTGAGCATCAGCAAACTGTGAAACTTGAACGTCTATGTCTATGACTATTAGATTAGATTAGAGTCCTTTATTATCATTGCACTGAGCACAACGAAATCGAGTAGCAATCCTGATGTATTAACGTGCATTTAAGGTTTGCATGGTGTTTTCACTTTGACCTGACCGATACCAAGTCCTTCATACTGACGGCACGCTGTTGATAGCACTGTTGCCTCACAGCAAGAAGGGCCTGGGTTTGATTCCTTGATGGGGCAAACAGGGTCCTTTCTGTGGCAAGTTGTGCCGTCCCGTGTCACGAATACTGGGTATGAATTTGTATGTCTGTGTGTCTGCCCTGACTGGTGGCCTGTCCTGGGTGTTTCCTGCCTTCCACCAATGACCACTTGGATAGGCTCCAGTGACCCAGGAGGATAAGCGGCTTAGAAGATGAATGAATGAATCAGCCATGGCACTAAAACCACCTCCTTGTTTCTACACTCATTGTCAATAGGAGCACTTTGTAGTTCTACAATTACAGACTGTAGTCCATCTGTTTCTCTGTGTACTTTGCTAGCCCCCTTTCACCCTTTTCAATGATCAGGACCACCATGGAGCAGGTATAATTTGGGTGGTGGGTCATTCTCAGCACTGTAGTAACACAGACGTGGTGGTGGTGGTGTGTTAATGTGTTACACTGGTATGAGTGGATCAGACACAGCAGTGCTGCAGTGGTGCTTGGAGGAAGCAGGTATTGGCCTTCGTCCTCCCAGCTTGGTAGCATTGTGTGATAGTGGGAGACCTAGCTAGCATAATGTTTCATTTTGATATTTAAGCAATAAAATGTTTTCAAACTGATGTTAATGAAGTGCTACGGATGGCTGGTGGGGCAACACTTAGACAGTTACCCCACATGTGACACCCTGTGATGTATTTCTGTGTGAAACAGAGAACGTTTCTGTGCTAGCTGAGCGCTTTCACTCAGTGGTAGGATATGGATGGTGGGAGGAGGTGAAACATGATATTAGTGGTTCATATTATTGTTCCCCACCTGCTAGTGCATGATGGAACCATAAAAATCTGATGAAGCAATGGAGGCGGTAAAAGCAGTTGCATTATTTATTATTATTATTATTATTATTATTATTTGGGATAAAAAATGTTAGCTCTGACCAGTAGGGGGTGCACTACCATATTCTGCCTATGGTCCTATGGTTCAAAATAATAAGCATCCTCTCATAATCTTCCTCAGCTCCAAAGAGTGGGATCACGTCTTGCCGGAGGAGAAATCCAAGCTGGATCACTCAGCAGACGATGGAGAGTTCTGGTGAGAACATCAAGTCATTCAATTTAGTGCAGGAGGGCTTTCCCTCCAAGGCATTCTCCTCCAAGCATGTTGAGCTGTCCAATGACATTGCATTAGAGGCAGTTTGAAAAGATGCGGTCGCTCACTTCACAGGTCTCGGAGGAAGCCTGAATTAGCCTTCACCCTCCTAACGCCGCTGAGTGAATGAAGGAGTCCAAACTAATGGGTGGAATTGGATGCAACTAAGTTGGGGAGAAAATTGGGAAAAAAAGTACTTTTTATTTACCAGTTTTTTTCTATTTCATTTTTTTTTTTAACCTACTTGGTTTAGTTTAATCTTTGCAGACTAGTTTTAAACACTCACTTGCTAGTGTTAGGTACACCTAGGTGGCACTTTCAGTGAATAGAGTTCATTTTAGGCCCTAAAACTTTTTAAATATTTTTTTTTTTGACAAAGTTATATACGTAAGTGATTACGCTTCAGAAAATGTTATTTTCCCACCTCAGCCTCTCAGGTCAGACACTATACAGGCTGTTTTTTTCTGAAATGTACAGCATTTTTTTGTAACCCTGTCATTTTGAGGGATATGTATAAATGGCATTTAAAAGTCTGGGTCAATTGAATTCATTATTTTCAAGCAAGAAATAGACATTTGTGAAATGCTTTTTTAACGTTTCAAATAAATATTAAAAATATCAAAAATGACTGAATAGCAGGGTTGAAATAACAGGGATGATTACTGAGACCATATTCCCCATTGAGCAGATATTAATGAAGTAAAAAAAAAACATAGTATACAACCTAGAGCAGAAAGGAAAGTGGAAAATTTGTTGTAATTAAAACAATTTCATTAAAATCCTTGTTTCAAGCCATTTTTTCATTTCATTTTTATTTAAAATAAAGGCTAAAAAATGGGTAACAGGGTTGCAAATTCAGCCTAAAATAAGCAGCATTTAGGAATGCTCAGCTTGACAAGATGCACATGCTGCATGCTAACTACTAATAACCATATAGTTTATATACATAAGAAAATAAACACACACACGTATGTGTATATATATATATTAACACGCACATATAAAATGAGAATACTTACTCATCTGATGGTCATTCTACAGAAAACTACAAGATGCAATTTCCTGTATATATCATTATAAATGGAATGTTCCAGGTTTGGGTAACAGGGTTGCACATAAAACCCGTGGGACAGATTAAAATGTCTTTTTTGTTAAAATAACTACAGCAATATGGACAAATTGCTTGACAATTAACCAAATTACTTTGTAGTTATGGTGATCCTGGAAAGTATTAATGAATATTTACATTCATTCATTTTTATATATTATTTATGTACATTCATAGAGACGAATGTCAGTGAGGTGGGACAGCCCAAAATCACCATAATAAAGACAATACAGACATTTGAAGTGTTTCTATGCTTTTATTTTAAATTACACTACAGATCCCTCCACGTCTCACAGAATTAAAAAATAACAAGTCACTTTATTGCTTTTTAAAAAAATATGGAACATAAATTGAACTGAATGCTAAAAGCTAAACAGTGCTGCAAACTAGGAGAGCATTAGCATAGCTAGCATAAAAACAGCTCTGCTCACCACAGAACAGGTTCTGGCCAACTAAAGCACAGACACAAGTTTGGATGATAATGATTCATATCTGAGGGTGTGAAGTCGAGCAACTGGCACTGGTGAGATAGAAAGATGAAATGAAACCTGTTTTGTCGTGTTTGGATCTGTAGCCTGACCGACTAACTCAACGTTAGCTTAGCAAGCAGCTACAGACCAAAGCAGTGCCACACACCACAGTACAGGCCTGTTTCTGACTAAATGCTCTGCTGAAACAAGTGTAGATGATAAAAACTGTCTGAGAGAGTAAAAGTCGAGTGACTGGTGTTGGAGTGACAGAAAGCTGAAATTGACCTTGTTCTGTGGTGTTTTGGGACTGTAGCATTTTGGCTAAGTTAAAAATATCTTAGTTAGCAGGGTGAATGTGCCACACACCACAACACAGGCCTGGTTCCAGCTAATGGATGCTAAAGTGCGACCCGTCCAGAGGATATCTGAGAGCACACTGGTGTCAGAGTGAAAACTGAATGTGTTCTGTGGTGAGTGTAGCTCTTAGCCGCTGCTGTGCTACTTTTTCTGAGGTTTTTCCTGTCTCTGATTGTATCAGTGCCACCTATCAGCGAACTCCACCAATCAGTGATCCCCCCTCTAAAATATAAATAGGTGGACTGTATCCATTAGGAATTTAGACGTCATCATTTTTAAATCCCAGCATAATTTTGAAATACTGCATTATACCTTATTACCATTATACCGCCAAACCCTAGTAGTATTGTAGTGTGTTTTGTGCTCGTGTGAGTGTATCAAGAACGTTGTTGTTCTCTTATTCTCTCTCTCTCTCTCTTTCAGGATGGCGTTCTCAGACTTTGTGCAGCGGTACTCAGTGGTGGAGATCTGTAACCTGACTCCAGATGCGTCTAGCAGTGACGAGGTGGGACAGTGGAACCTGTACCAGTTTGAGGGAAGCTGGAAGGTGGGCTCTACGGCTGGCGGCTGCAGCAACCACCCAGGTGCCTGTCGCACATACTAAATACACTCACTGGCCACTTTATTAGAAACACCAACCTCTTACCTCTGCTTTGCTGTTACACCGTTCTGGTATACGGTTAGAAACTGTAACCCAGCCCATTTAACAGTTAGAAAGTAGGCCTACTCTGTTACGATAGGTGATCATCCTAGATATATGACATTCCTTATGGCGTGCCACAGGGTTCTATTCTTGGTCCCCTTCTTTTCCCTTTATGTAGACTACAGTTCAAGTTTGGAATTACTGTTCAATAGTTTGAATCAGTGTTTTCAATAAAATGAAGCCTATTGGTTGAAGATAAAAGTATGAAATGATTCTAATATGCTAGTCATGTAAATCTACACAGGTTTCAAGGTTTCAAATAAAGAATCTGGAGAAAAAGACATTTTAATGCCATGCAATAACACAAAAAGTGTTGTTTCTTGTTTCACCAGCTACATTCAGCTTAAACCCACAGTTTCCGATAAAGCTTGAGCACGTGGACCACAGTGACCAGGATGGAGGTCAAAACTGCTCTGTTCTTGTGGGTCTGATGCAGAAAGGAGGACGCAAAGAGAGAGAGTTGGGCCATGACTACAACTTCATTGGCTTTGTCATCTACAAAGTAATAATTATAGTATATTTGCTTTAGTTTAACAATAATAGTTTGATACAGTGAAAGTAGTAGTAGTGAGCAACCCTGCTGAAAAAACAAAGACACTATTAAGTGTTTCTGTTGGTTCCTGGTGGTTTTGTAATGCACTTTGGCTTTTCTTGATGGGTTGATATCACAGTGTAAAGGATACTAATGGTTTAACGTGTGACCTGATTCCAGATGCATTGGATGGTTTCCTAATGGAACCTTCCTTTAGACTCCTAGAAACTAGTAGTCTGTAATGGCAAATTAAGTTTTCACCCTAATGGTCTTTTTTCAGCAGGGAGATTATCAAGAATTTGCTCACTGTAGGCAAAATAATCTACAATATTAAGACAAAGTCAAACATTTCTGCATATTTCAGTGGTTGAGGCGTAAACAAAGTCATTCAGAGTGGCTTGGCGTGAAATGCTTCACTGTAGAGAAACTTACAGACTCAGATCTCTTTACAGTGGTGGTGATAGGAACCAGGGGTCGTGATGTCTAACAACACAAATGTAGCCATTTTACTTGAACCTACACGTTTTGTAACATTGATAATGGACTGTTGATATGTTGTTGTTGAATATGTGATGTTGATAATGTTGAAATAGTGATAGGTCTAAAAAAAAAAAAAAGTGAAAAAATATGGACTATTTTGCTGTGCAGCACCATTTCAACATGAATGTATTTCAAAAAAATGATGTTTTAGGCCAAAATCTTCTCAAAAAACTGCTGTAAAACAATGTCCCAGTGAATTCATAACCATTTCATGGAATGACTTTCTGTGAGGGAGCCTTTAGAAGCATTAAAGGCTGTGGACGTCTGGTTCCTATCACTACCACTGTGAACAATTCTGACTCTGTAAGTTTCTCTAGAGCTTTTCACGCTAAAACGCACTGAATGATAACAAAAGCGTGGTGTAATTTAGTGTCAATTGTTTATCACTCAGATCTCAAGGAGATAATCTCATCAAAACAATAAAAAAAATCCAGAACTAGAATGGAAATCCAAAATACTTACAACTTATTCTATAATTCAATATGTAGAAATTCTAATGGCGAGAGAGAACATTCATAAAAGCACTTTGGCAAGAAGTACAAAACGTAGGATAGAACAAAAATGAGTGAATAAAAAAATTGATTACTGTTTATTTACAGAATTCAATATACTGGAAAAGCCCTCGGTCTGTGCAAAAGTTATGGCACATTTAAGCAAGTTCTCTGTAGAGGATGTGTTTAATTATTTTCACTTAGAAATGTATGTATATAACTGTAAGAGAGCTAACCTTTCAGGTTAGGACAGCTTTTTATTGTTAATGTAGGATAACAGTAAAAGAGGTTACCTCTGCTCTCTGGTCTCTGTCACGACACCCTGTCATCACATACAGCAGTTTGGGTTTCAGTGCTGCCCTGATGTGTTTTCCTGTGGTGTGTTTGTGTTGCAGGTTCCAGATGAGGTGTGTATGACATGTAGGACAATAGAGTGACAGCAGTCTGCCTACTGTAAGATGTTTCTCCATCAAAGGCTGCACTAGGGCAGCACAAGACAAATATTTGAGAGTGAATTATTCATGTGAATGAATTGCCTAATAATGTGTTTGGGGGCCGTTGGCTGGGCAGGTAAAGATCCAGACTGTTTTGGAGGATCCTAAACCATTTTTTTATAAGAATGAAATACAAAAATCATAAAAACACATAAAAAACAAGCGTGAAAAAAATGCTTGTAACAGAAAATGAAAAAATTACATTTATAAGGACTAAAACAAGCTATATCATCTGGGTGATTTGGTGGATGTCGATAAAATTTTAAAAGTCCGTTTATGCACTCACACCTTTTTCTCGCCTGGCTCTCTCTCTCGCACGTGCACACTCTCTCTTGCATGCTCTTCATCTCTCTTACACACATGCACTTTGTCTTGCACGCTCTCTTTCTCTCTTACACGCGTGCATTCTCTCGCACTCTCTCTTGCATGCTCTCTCTCTTACACGTGTCCACTGTCTCTTGCACGCTCTCTCACGCTCTCTGTCTCTCTCTTGCATGTGCACGCTGTCTCTTGCATGATCTTCCCACACGCTTTCTCTCTCTTACATGCACATGCTATCTCCTGCACTCTCTTTTACACGCATGCACTCTCTCTTGCACACTCTCATGCTCTCTCTTACTTGTGCACACTCTCTTCCACACATTTTCTCTCTCTCTCATGCACACTCTGTCACACTCTCTCTTGCACACGCATGCTCACTCTTGCACGCTCTCTCTTGCACGCTCTCTCGCATGCATGCGCTCTCTCTTGCATGCTCTCTCTCACTTGCATGCACTCTCTCTTGCACGCTCTCTCGCACACACTTTCTCTCTTGCACACTCTCTTTCTCTTACATGTGCGCACTCTCTCTTGCACAATCTCCCCCACATGCTTTCTCTCTTCACGTGAAAACAATGTTTACAAAAGGAGCCGTATTTAAAGCTAATTAACCATTTGCGTTTATCGAGCTACCTCAGTAACACTGTGACAGGATGAGCTGCCGATTGTTTAAAACATTTAGAATTTTTGCGAAATACGTGTAATTAACAGAAACGTATCCTAAGGGAGTAATTCAGTTTGTCAGAACCCCCTGCCTGGAGGGAAAGCTACTGTTTGCTGACCATTCTGCTGCCTCAGTATATTTTCTTTTCCAGTGGTTGACGATAATGTTGTTCTGTCATGGAAAGCTAACTCAGACTTGCATATGTTGTATCTTTCATGTTAAGGAAATGCTCCCAAACTTTCAGCCAGAGTTGTTCCTTTTCTTTTGCTGTCTGCTCACATACACTATAATGGCCTAAAGTATGTGGACAAATGACATCACACCTCTTTGAGCTTGTTGGACATCTCAATCCAAAACCATGGGCATCAGTGTGGAGTTGGCCCCCCTTTGTGAATATAACAGCCTCCACTCTTGGAGAAAGACTTTCCACATGATTTTGGAGTGTGTCTGTGGGAATTTGTGTCCATACAGTCATCCATCAGACTGCTAGATAGTGAAATGTGATGATTTTATACATTTGTTAGCAGTGGGTGTGACTGGAGCACCTGGATTCAAGAAGTAGGAGAGGTGTCCACATATTTTTGACCATATGGATTAAGTACAAGTACTATAAGTGAATTGCTGCCCTTTAAAGGTTAAGTTGTTAACTCACTGTAGGTTGAAAATTCATGTGAAAATTGACAATTGAGATATTTGTCTGCATTTTTTTTTAGCATTTTTAACATTAGTGATAATGCAGAATAAGTGTTTTAGGCCTAATGTAGACCTGATGCTATCAAACCTGTGTAATGGGAGACAAAGGAATATAGGCTTATTCAGTGTGTTGGAACTGCATTCTGTCATATTTAATTATATAATGCCTGAGGGCCAATATCTTATAACACTTTCTTAAGGTCCAGTTATGAACCTTAAATAAGTTTTTCCTGGGTAAAAAATACATATTTGTACCTTTTCATAACCGAATGTTTTAAAACAGAACAATAAAATAAAAAGCCTGGAGGCGAGACGGGGTGTGTGGAGTCAGTACAACTTAGAATATATAATTTATGGATTATGGTAGAATTATGTTCCCTGACTAAAGATACTGAGATGTACCCTTGAGGGAACCACCCCAGTGACAGTTCCATACCTTTATTTTTGAGACTATATGCTATATATCTGCAAAAATAATTTATTTACAGTATATACAGTACTGTGCAAAAGTGAGACACTACCCTTCATTTACTTAATAGTCAGCTGAAATGTCCCTTAAGTACAAGTTCCTCATTTTCAGGAGAGAAAACAATCCACTTGCATGAGAAAGAAGAAAGTCAAAGGAAAATATGTGAAAAAAAAACAGGAGTTCAAAATATTATTAAACAACACAGAGAAAATGGGACTCCTAACAACCACCTGGAAGACCTGGTAGACACCAAAAGTGCCCCCATCAGATAAACAGCACTTAAAGCTTTCATCTTTCAGAGAGAGGAGAAAATCAAGCTGCTTCAGTTCTAAAAAAACATCTATCCATCCTTCCACTATGAGAAGACAACTCTATCAGAAAAAAAGAAGAAAATTGGCAAACCAAACCAAGAAGCTCCCAGAAAAATGGACTGACCGCAATATCACTGAGCGACTGACTGAGGATAATGAGATGCAGAAAATGCAACCAACTTCTGAGACTGAACTTTGGAGGTGCGTCTGCAGATTTCTTTGAACAACTGAAAGTGAGTCGCCTGAAAAGAATGGAAGCTGTAATATAGGCAAAGAGTGGATGCTCTGTTGTTGAGGCCTTTTTTGAGTGGGGTATAAATAAATGAAGGGTGGTCTCTGACTTTTGCACAGTACTGAAATTTAATCACAGATCTCAAGAAACGTCACCACTATGAGTGCATTTGTGTGTGTTTTCCAGCATAAAGGCCGCACGGACGTCCACCTGAGTCCTGATGACCTGTGGCGTCTGAGCCCGGTGGCTAGAAGCAGCTTTGTGAACGCTCGTGAAGTGTGTGAGCGCTTCAAGCTGCCGCTGGGAGAGTACGTCATCATTCCCTCCACATACGAGCCCAACCATGAGGGCAGCTTCCTGCTGAGGGTGTTCTCTGACAAATAGACCCCCTGCAGAACCAATGATGGAACGAACCCCTTAGAAATCTACCTTTGTAGTTTTGTCAGAATGTTTAAATGTGATTACATTGCTAGTTATATAATGAATTATAGACATTTAACCATATACATGTAACTAATACAAGTTATATAATGATTTGCATTCTGTATTCATGAGTCTGTGAGACTTTTTTTGCAAACAAGTATCTTGGTTGCAGTTGTTAGCACTGTGCAGACATTTGTCACAGAAAGTAAAAGTTAGCAAACAAGCTAATTAGCTAGCTATTGCTAGAAATATTAACTTACTGCTATTAACTACCAAGCAGGATAATAATATTACAAATAAACTTTAGTATTTAATGTAACACTTCATTTTGCCATTGAGCTTATGTGGTCATTTCATTTACACTTAGGTTTCAGGTTTGGTAAATCTGTTAAAGAACCATAGTAGTATAATAGTAAAGCTATTAAGAACCATCTGACTGAAGAAACCTATGTTTTTCCAGTTAAGACTCTTGGGAGTGTTTACAGATAACCTTTTTCAAAAAAAGTAAGCAACATTTATTCTTTCCTTTCTGGAACCTAAATGGTTCTGCATGGTACAATTATTTTTATTATACAATTGGGTCTATAAATATTTGGATGTTGACAAAATTATTGTTATTTTAGCTGTTTACCACAGCAAATCGGAGTTGAAATTAAATAAAGAGTATGAGGGGCAAGGTTTCAGCTTTAATTTGAGGGTATTCACATCCAAATTGGATGAACGGTGTAGGAATTGCATCCATTTTCAGATAAACGGTCTAGAGTTGTGGCATTAGCATTTGGAACCTGTGGCTGTCATCTCCAAAGAGCTTCACTGCCAGTCATCATTAGGCTGAAAAACCACAAGAAACCCATCAGAAAGATAGCAAAAGCATTAAGTGTGGCCAAATCAACCATTTGGTACATTCTTAAAAAGGATAAATGCACTGGTGAGCTCAGAAACACCAAAAGGCCTGGAAGATCCCCTGTGGTGGATGGTAAAATAAAAAAAAAACGAATTTGGCCAGATCAAGAACACCCTCCAGGAGGTAAGTGTATCTGTGTCAAAGTCAAAAATCTAGAGAAGACTTCATAGAGTAAACAGAGTTTACAACAAGCTCTAAACCATTTGTTAATTCTCAAAAAGATGTAATCCAGACAAAAAAGACCGTACAGTTCTGGAGCAACATCTTCTGGACAGATGAGGCAAAGATCAACTTTTACCAGAATGATGGGAAGAGAAGAGTATTGACAAGGGAAGGAACTGCTCATGATCCAAAGCATACCACCTCATCTGTGAAGCATGGTGGAGGTAGTGCTGAAGACATAGGCATGTGTGACTGCCAGTGGAACTGGTTCCCTGGTGCTCTTGTATTTATTGATAACGGTCAACAATTGCTATAGCTAACAGGTGTTAATGTTAGCTAGCTGGTGAAACCCAAGTGAACAAGATTGTGTGTAAGATGAAAATCTGTTTCGAAGGCAGTATGAAAGAGGCCTTTTGCCCCATGTCTGAGTGCACTTTTGCTCCAATGGCCTATTCTAAGTCTTTGATAAAAATGCATCAATCACTATTAAGATGTTTTTTTTTATGGTGATAAAAAATAGTGACCCTGGAAAAAAAAATCTGTAGCATTAAGCCCAGAAAGTTAGTGATCCAGATGAAACTGCAGAATAAATTTAGACCTCAGCCGTTGACGAGATTCGATTTTGCCCCATCATTTGATCAGGAGAGGAAAAAAAATACTACTAGTTGCATGTATATAAAGTCCCAGGGGACACAGTGAAAAATATTTTAAGGCATGTATAATACTCACTAATAAACACTAATAAACATCTAGCACATTTTAAACAAAAAACAATAGAAATGTAATAAAATGTGGCTTAAAAAGATCAGACCAATCAGAGAACTATTTGGGTGTGGTTCTAATACTCTAATGAGCATGTGTGACAGCCCTCAGTCCAACATTCGCAGCCTGCTATAACTGTGGGCAGAGTTTAATGGGCTCTACTGCCCGGCCCCATTTCACCCCTCGCCCCTACCACTTAGCCCTTACCCTTCCATTTTGCGTGTTCATGTCTAGGGGTAGGGTGTCCCGATTTGTTGAGATAGAGGGGTAGGGCGAAGTGTTAGGGCTACATGGCCCTCCAAACAGAAAAGTTGTCACAGTTAAAAAATTTTGAAAACCATTATATTATAGTTATATTATACCATTATATTATATTATAGTTTAATAGTTCAGTGTATTATGGTCCTTTTCTTCATAACAAGCATAAAAATAATAGTAAAACTAATAGTATGCTGATGTCTACATAGCTAGCTAGCTAAATTTCCCATTCCACCTTAAATAGTCCAGGAGTATTGATGCCTGAAGCACCAGAATGTAACTCCTGTACCATTTAAGGTGGAACGGGAAAATTTGAACAAGAAGCTGGTGAACAGCTGACTTCAGCTTCATATTACCAAAGAATTAGGGGTGAGAGTTAATAAATTATAATCCCGTCCTCCCCTCTTTAAAAGCGTATGATTCCCTAAACTTAACTAAAGAGGGAGGCCATTAATGAACACAGGTTTGAGCAGTATAAGTGGGGCAAACCACATTTGCCTTGTAATTGGTGAGGATACTGCTTACGTGGCTGCTGCCCAAGATTAAGACTGCCCAGTATACATTGAAAGCAATTTATTGGATTTTATATTGTGTATTTTTTTAAAGATAATGCTTTTATTTCTACTGAAGTGGATTAGTGATAAAATTCATTTACTCTGCACTCAGTTACATTTTAGTCACATCTCTGACTTTTGAGGTTTATTGTTATTTCAGACTAAAGCCCTATTTGGATGGGATTAGTTTTACATGAGGAGGTGGGTAAAGACATTATTAACAGCGTTTCTCAGTGATTTCAGTTCCATCTGAATGCGCCATGTCAGTCTTTTATACCAACCGCTGCCTTTTACCTTCTGTAAAACGAGCCATAAAAACAACCTCACACTCTGTGGAAAGGGAGTTTCTTAAGCATGGAGGCTCGAAGACGTGTTTACCTGTGTTGTCAGACAAAGATGCTGCTGGCTTACTATTCACCAGCTCCTAGTTGGAATTTTCCTGTTCCACCTTAAATAGTGCAACACTTACTATTATTATGCCTGAAGCGCCAGAATGTAAATGCAGCACCATTTAAGGTGGAACAGGAAAAAATTCTAACAAGACGCTAAAATCAAGCCGATATGTAACGTTACTGTCCTGTCTCACATGTACAACTCAGAACGTGTAAAAATTACAGAAAAAAGTTTGATTTTATGCGGAAGTTGAGTGTTTGTTGTGAATAACAGGGCTTATGGTGATGCTATGACTCTCTGCATTCACTTAAAACGGAAAGGTAAATGGTTAGGGTAAACTAAATAAGGGCTAAATCAAATGGTTGAACATGTTTTCTGGAGTAAACGTGGCGCTTAAATCGAGTAGCTACTCCCAACTCTGTCATTTATACCGAGATTTCTTATCCCATTTGAATCCCCGATAATCCCATCCGAATAGGCCATCAAAAAGAGAGTATTTTTCTTCTACTCAAGTTGTTTATTAAGTTGTTTATTGGAATGAAACTTGTACTTTTACTGCATTATTGTAGTATTATTTTACTGTCATTATTGCTCTGAAGTGACTTGAGGTACTTTTTACTCGAGTGTGGCTACTCTACTCAGCTCTGAGTAAGTATTAGCATTAGAAAAAAATGTAGAAATGTATATGTACCGTCGGATGCAAAGGTTTAGGCATTTGAATGGTCAAATGATGTTTTCCTGATTTTTCCAAGTGAAAGTTAGTGAACACGTCCTCTGCAGAGTACACACTTCTGCACATTTTAACGCCCAAATCTATTTATTTACTGAATTTAAAATAGATAAACAAAGATCAAATTTGGGCTGCCCAAAAGTAATGGCACATTTCCTATTTAATTTTTTTTCCACCTAGTATGTTAAAATCAGTAAGCAAATAGATGTTGTGCACTAAAACCTAAGGTTGTTTAAGTATGGGGTGTGTTAACTTATTTTCAGTAAGAATATTACCAAAACATGTCATTTGGTCAAGTGTATCTGAATTTGTCATTTGAAAAGCAAATGCTTTTCCCAGAATTGCCAAAAAAACTGCTTGACTCAAATGTGGGTCTCTACCAGTCTGTTCACCTTATGATCTTTCTTGCTAGCTTTGTTAGATTTTCTTTAAAATGTTCAGTGTGTGGAGTGAACTTTCCGCATTAGATAACATTGTAGTCAAAAATTTTAGTAGTGGAGTCTGAGACTCAGACCAGATTATTTTTTTCAAATTATATCTATATAGATCTATATAGATATAATTTGAAAAAAAATGATCTGGTCTCAGTCTCGGACTCCAGTACAAAAACGTATATCACTGCTGTTGGAACAAAACCTCATATCTTCACTTTCTTGATTTTCAGTTTTTGACATAATTTGAAAATGCCTGTTGCTCTTTACAATGTGTGTAAATTTCATGATGAATGGACCAAAAGAAACGGCTCAAAATGACTTGGACAAAAAGTCTGGTTCCATTCATTTACATTAAAAGTAAAGTATGTTTTGTTTTTTTTGGTTCTCCTCTAAAATTTCCATTTTGGAGATATGAGGTTTTGTTCTGACCGATCTTCATTTTTGTCTTTACAGAAATTGAAGTTTACAATATATTAAAATGTCACGATGAGTGGACCAATAGAAAAGCTCCAAAATTTCTTGAAAAAAAAAGACTTTCATTAATTTCCACTCAAAGTTAAGAATGTTTTTTCCCATCTGCAAAGTTACCATGTTTTGTTCCAACAGCAGCAAATTGTAGTAAATTAATTATACATTACATATAATAAAACCAAATATGAGATTTTACAACATATATTGTAAAATATAGTTTTAAATATTATAGAGCCTAAAGTATTCATTATTATTATATTACTGTCTTAATCAAACTTTGCATTGTAACTGGAAGCAATTGTGAGTTTTTTTTACTTTTCTTCTCTAAAACGTTTTCAGAATCACCACCTAAAGACAAATGAACGT